TCGAGTCTGCATTTCTTCAAGAGAACAATCTACCTCTTCACCTTGGAAAGAAAATGGTGAGAGTGATGCAGTTGGCAGCAGTCATGAACTTGAAAAAAGGATGTGCGACCACAACTCCAGATTCAACAACTATTGCACCCTGGACAGTGGCGGTCTTCGTGGCGATTGTGAATGCAATCTTGATACAGTAACTACATCGATTGGTCGACTCTGGAGTCTGGAGGCATTTCTTTTCAGTCAACTTCGCGCCAAAGAGAATGTGACTCTTGGAGGACTGATTCGCCGTCATAAACACGGGGGTGCAAGTGTCTGAGACTGAGCCTTAGAGTGAATACAACCCAGTTGGACCATCAAGATTTTCGCCAGAACGTGACGGAAGTGCTGATCGAGAAGATCAACTACGATTGAGCGTGGGTGTGCTTTGCCAACTATGACATCATGACAAGGAGATCAAGAAGAAAGATGAGAAAAACCGGACCAAGAGAAGGACGAAGATCGACAAATAGTGATGCGCGAGGAAGTGGTGATCCAGAACCAGGCGGTGAACGCGGTCACGAACCATGGACATCAACGCGAACATTCACAAGAACATGGACATGGTGAAGGTTGAGAAGAAGTAGGACCAGGGCATGACCCTGGTCGCGCCCATGTTCCAGAATCAGACGAGCTGAACTTTTGGAGTGAAACAGCAGTCCCACTCAAGACCAATGAGTTCAGTGGTTACAAGCGGCGACTACTTGGAGAAGGAGAACATGAAATGGTGGTGACGCGCAGACAGGTGGCAAGAACAAACGCAGAGAGAGAGGGATGTTGTGAGATGCAGGAAAGCGGAGCAACCATTGCTTTCTTCGATGACCATGGCAGACTGGCAGAGCTAACGTCACAATCCCTGACTTTGAGCAGCTTGCAGTGAGATTAGCCGACTAGCTTCATTAGCTAATCATTAGCGTAACATAGTGAAAAAGGTCGGGGAAGTACTTCGAATGATTGGCCGCACTGAGGCCACCATCAGGGACCAAAACCGAGATGATGAGATGATGCAAGAGACGACTTGAACAAGTTGAGCAGTGGAGCAGATGTGGACACGGAGGAGACAGAAACATCAAGATCAAGATTGAGATGACACATGGGCCCATGGGTTTGCAATTTGCAGACGTCTGAAGGGAGTGACCCAGAAGAATGGGTGCATTTTTTAGCGAAGATGAAAAGTCGAATTTCAATGAATGTAGTTATTGTTTCGAAGAAGCGCTGCGTAAGCTTTGTGTGTCTGTGAAGACGCGCAGGGTTGAACAGTTGAACCAACCCTGAGGCGGGGTGCCAGAGTTTAGCGTGCAGACCCCTGCGCAAGGATGATGTGCGCGCAGGTCAAGAGACATGAGCCATGCCGACAGTGGCTCAAGAGCGTGAAAGGAGCGAAGAGTGTCTTGCCAGCTTGCCTGTTTTTTCCCGAGGGTGTCTCATAAGAGTGATTGAAACTGTCAATATGTCCAGTGTCAGGGGTGTCTTCGCAGACATTGGGACCGAATGCGTCAGAGGCGTCACAATTCACAATTCTTCGTCAGCGACAGCTGCAACTGACATCGCTGGTTCCCTTTCTTGTTGCCACTTCGCTGAGCCATGTTTGGAAACTGGGGTGGGGCCGTTGAGGAATTCAACTCAATAGCGGCGCCCGGTCACCGGCACGAACATGTTCACCTCTTGATGTTTTGCTTTCATTTGTTAGTGAGTACATGGAACCAACGAAGCTGCGCATGTTAAATCCGTCTTACCATTGCCTTTGTCCTAATAACTTGGCAAAGTTTGTGACGCGCAGCTTCAGCATTCACAAACGCTCACGCTCTCGCTCTCGCTCTCTCTCTTTCTCTCTTCTGTCCCTTCTCGGGATGCTGTAGATCAAGTGTCGGAGTGTTTGCGTACATATGCCATGGAAGATGCTGGAGATGCCCCAAGCCCTGGCAAGCGATAGGAAATGCACACATCAAATACAAATTGCTGCCCCACCAAGCCAAAGACAATACAGCCCGTCAAGTGTGAGACGGGAATGGCCCCCACAAGATCCCACAAGGTCATGAACCCATCACCACCCAAAGGCGCACTGGACAACGAGGACATCATCGGCAAACCCATTTGGATCAAGTTGCGAGTGCTAGTGCCAGGAAGGGGCGCAGAATGGATACAATTGGAGGTGTTCGAGGTGATCAGAAAGTGGAAGTGCGTTGCAAAGTACGTGGAAACACTGTCCTTGGGAATGCTAAGGCCGGATCCGCTGAAAAAATGCCAGCACTACCCTACCAGCTTCAGCTTCCTTTGCAGGGGCAGCCGCCGCCCAAGTTTACAGCAGTGTTTGTTTTTCTTGTGTTCTCTTGTGAAGACCTGAGTAGATTTGATAAAATTCCTGGTGAGATGTACCAATATGCTAAGTTCAGGTTCTTTAAGGAATGATATTTTTGAGCAACCTGAGTACTCCGTCCAAAAAACAAAATGGCGCTGCTGTCACAACTTCCCCCAAAGGCCACTGACTTTCAATGAGCAGGCGTGTGATTTGATCTTGAAACATGTGAGCGAAGTGAACAAACGGATGGCCGCAATGGTAGTGAGCAGTTTGTATTGACACTTGGATTGTTTGCCAGATGGCGTCTTTGCATGAACTCATAGCTGTTTCCTTAGCTTATATTTCAATTGCTTCCACTACAGTTGCGGCACAAGGGAAACGACCCGTGTTTGTACCAAGGCCCGGTCACGAAATTTGACGCAGGTGCCGACCCCGTTGATCTTTGATTCGTTATTCGTTTCATTTGAGTGTGTTGATCGTGTCTCAAAAGGTGACTATCTCCAGTGTGAGTGAACTGAGTTTGGGGGTTTGCTTCTGGGTAGATGAATGGATATTTGTCGGGTTGCAATCCGAAATCACGAAAAGGGAAAGTGACAACCACCCAAAGCATCCGGAAAGGGCTTGGGAATGGGCCAGACCGGCCTCACGTCACTAGCTTCCTTTATATACTCAAAAGTGGAAACTAACCGTCGACAGTCGACAGACAACGGAGGCCATGCAACCACGATCAAGCATGAACCTGTTCAACATCCTAGAGTTTGACCTTGTTTAAAACGAGAGAGGGCCCCAATAAGTACTACATTGATTTTAGTTCAGAATGCAAGATGTCCGAGTGAGTTCTGTATGCTTTCCCTCTTTTCTCATTGATGTGCTCATCCTGCAGCACAGGAGGAGGGGTTGAAGGTTGCACGGGTTCTTCAAGCAGCCATGTCCGCACCCAAGTGGTCCAAGTGGTTTGTTGGAGGTGGATTGCCCGATTCACAAAATTGATCGAACATCCAACAGTTTTTTGGCAAGGCCCGACCACTATGATGAGTAAGGTTTGGCCAAGGTTGGCAGCGCAAAGCAAGCTGGCGCAGCAAGTCTATTGATCCAGCTTTGCAGAGCACAAATCCATTAGGAGTCTTTGAGCATCTTGAAATACTAGAATAATGTGACTAGAAGGGTGTGTGGGGAATGTGCCGTGTGTCCCAACTTGAGCGCGATGGTCATGCAGGTTATTCTGGAATCGCGCTGCCTGCCACAGGTGGGGCTTTGAAGGCTTCGAGGATCACTGTTTGGGTGCAATTCGGACTGTGCTAGGCAGTGCGTGGAAGCCTCGCTTTGGTCACGAGCGTGCCTCTTATTGTCTGCTTTGCTAGCTTGTGAGTCGTGTGAGCATGGCCCATGGCGTACGTTTCTTCATACATTTTGGCGCACCTGTAGCAAATTCGGAGCAAAGCCTTCGACCAAGGCCACGCTTTTGCGTGACCTTCGTGCTTACCCTGGCTAGGTGGGACAATCCCCCTGAAAAAAGATGAAATAAAGCATCAAACAGCACTGTATGCACACATCATATCATCACATTTTAGTGCACATGTGAGTTATGATGAGAGAGATTCGGTGATTGCCTCAGGTACGACTCGCAGTGAGCCCTTCACGCGCTCTTGCAATTCAAGAGGGGTTTGTTGGAATTCTTGTTGGTCTGACCCTATGGCCCTATGGCTTTGAAATGTAGAGCATATATTTTTACCTATATATCATTCCTTACTTAGGGCCAAGGGTCAACAGATGATCAAGCAGGGCCAAACACAATTTTGTGTTTCATTCACTTTCTTGATTCAATTCAGCCAGGTTCTTGGCACATGATGTTACAACTCAGTACTTGTCGTGCTTGCTTTTTCCGACGATCTTCCTGGTCAAGCGTTGTCTCGCTGTCTCGCCGCTTCCTTGCGAACCCTGTGTGGTTGGCAGCGCCAGACTCGCGGAGTGCATTGCTCATGCAGCTGTGAACGCCCACTTGCTCAATGCTAAGTGAGACTTAGGATCGAGTTTGCACGATTGTGTGTTTTACCTGAATTTATGCAATGCACATTTCGGCCTTGCTGCTTTTCATGAGCCTGCGGCCATGAATCGTTTGCAGCTTCCGGGAGCCTGACTCCCAAGCAATATCACAGCGATTTCGAACAGTTGCCAATGGAGCACTGTTTCCTGAGCTCGTTCAGCTAGTTCAGCACATTAAGGTCAACATAATTATACAGTTCAACTGGGTTCGGTCGTACTGAAGGTTTCGAGTTGAACACACTTGCTTATAAGCTGAGCTGGTGCAGCTGTTGGTTTGTAGAGAAGATTGTGTCGGTTGGAAGTGATACGAAGCCCCTTGGAAAGAGCTCAAGCTCAACCGACGGACTACAAAGCGGACCATCAAAATCACCACGGGATTCGTTTTGTTGTTCGCAGTTCAGATGCCTGACACACTTGCCGCTTGCTCGCCTGAGTTGGGATCAATTGACCTATGACCTTGTTGACTGCTGAACGCAATTTGTGGCTGCATCCAGAGGGTTGCTTCATGTGCTTGATTGTACTTTCTTCACAGCCAGTTCCTCAACCCAAGTTTAGAAACCAGGCCCACAAAGAGACAGAGGAAACAGACGAATCGACACAGCTTGAGACCCATCCAGCAGCCTGACCCACTTTAAGTTCCTGTGCTATCCCTTTCCAGCGCACAGCCATGGACATCGCGTTCGTATCTCCGTTGCCTGGGGATTTCGGGTCTTTTCGTCAACCTGGACCATTTGTGATGCAGAGTCGCTCCTCCGAGACTTTTTCAGACTGCTCAGGCAAATGGAGGCCTGCGAAATTTGCCATCGCCGGCATACTGTCACACCTCGGGAGGAAGACTCACAGAAGAGGATATCTTCACCAGAAGGCCCATCGACTTGCGGACTACTATGAGGTCCTTGGAGTAAGTCGAAATGCAAACGAACGGGAGATCAAATCGAGCTTTCGAAAACTCGCCCGGCAGTTCCACCCAGATATCAACAAGGAGCCAGGAGCACAGGAGAAGTTTCAAGAAATCGCTAAAGCGTACGGAGTGTTGTCAGATGCAGAAAAAAGAGACCAGTACAATCGATTTGGTGAGGGGGCAGTGCCCAGCACCAGTCCAGATTTGTCCAGCATGGATTTGAAAGACATCCTGGGCGATGTTTTCCAAGACTTTTTTCGGGGTCCTGGAATGCGAGGTCATCCCGCAAAGGGAAGCACTAAAGGTGCCAAAAAAAGGGGCTGATCTACAATGCAAAATTGAAGTTCCTTTCGATTTGGCTTGCTTTGGAGGTTCGCACACCATTCAAGTCCAGCGCGAGGACACATGCAAGACTTGCCATGGCCGCGGAGTTAACGCGGATGTTGCTAAAGACCAGCGCTGCTCCAAGTGCAATGGAACCGGCACCACGCTGCAAGTGATGCAGACTCCACTGGGTGTAATGCAGACCCAGCTAGTTTGTCCGAAATGCGGAGGGACCGGCCTTGACCCCACGGCATCTTGTCGCAGTTGTGGTGGTAGAGGCACTCAAACGCAGACACAGGAGATCTCGGTGAACATCCCACCTGGCTGCAAGGCAGGCAGTCAACTCCGTATCAGAGGAGAAGGGGACAAGGGAATCAGAGGTGGGCAGCCAGGCGACCTCTACATCACCTTGAGGATTTGCCCCTCGAGGGATTTTGTGCGAGACGGGGCAGACATCTACAGTGAAAAAGTCATCAGCATCTTTGATGCGATGCTTGGCACATCGGTTGGGGTCACCACTGTCGACGGCATCACCGAGATAGAGGCAGGTGATGGTGGTGTGATTGTTTTTCATTTTTTCCCAAACAGTTTACTGTTCGGGTTCTCTCTTAGCGAAAAAGTCACTGGCCAGTTTCTGGCTGCGCCCCTGAACCCTGTATCCGGGTGCTGTCCTCTTGCTGCGCTTGCGAACCCTGTGTCCTCCTCTTCCTCTAGACTCTAGCCATGCTTGCGAGCTTTGAGTCCTCCTCTTGTCCTCCTTATGTCCTTTGTCCACGCTTGCAAATGCTGTGGCCTCCTCTTGTCCTCTTGGTGTCCTGCTGGCGAGCCCTATGTCCTCCTTTGTTCCCCAAAAAGTTTCGGAAAGAAATGGCTGGCCATGATAGCCGTGGCCGCGCCGTGGGCTTTGTTTTCCGCCTTGGTCTGGAGCTTGTCCAGGCCGTCCGCTGCGCTGCTGTGGGCTGCATTGTCTCCCCAGGCTTTGTTCGGGTCGTCATGGCGGCGCCTTGTCCAGGTATCCAAGTCTTATCTGGGTCTGTTTGTCCTGCTTGTCCGCGTTGACGGCCCTTTCACCACCGCCTTGTCCAGGCTTTGTCCGCTGCTTGGCACGCGGCTTTCCCTTTCTCCACCGCCTTGTTCGGGCATGTTTTCGCATGTTTTCACGTGGCTATCAATGCAACAGTGGCGCAGCGTTTCAAATTTGATACTATCTGGGATTTTCTCATGACACAATTTTATCCCTTCGTTTTTTGTACTTGTGACGAGGGAATCAAGAAATTGTTGTCAAACAATGCCACTGAAAGCTGCAGGAATGCAATCACAGAGGTAGCCACCAACATTGGAATTCAAGGAGTTGACGCCGCAAAAAGCATTGCCGCGTTGGCGATGCCAGGTGCCAGCAGGAACCCAGCCTGGCACAACAATGCGGCTTCGTGGAAGGGGCGCCCCTAAACTGGGCACCAAAGGCAGAGGATTGATCAGCGTGCAGCTTTTCGACATGCATGCCACTTTGCAAACCACAGATTCATCTTCTCCGACACAACACTGACACAAATTCGATCAAATTCGGATTTGCCTATCATTTTTTTGACAGCTTCACTCGCCAGGAGACCACTATGTCACACTGCAGGTTGAGGCACATAGAAACAAGGACCTACGGTTTCACAAGTGTTCACAATCTATTCATCACAAATTTGTGATTGAAAACTGGAGGTGCCACACTCGCTTAATGATGAACAGCGCAAGCTGGTCTCAAAACTCAAAGAGGCTGGTTTCTTGTGAGCAGGATTTCATTTGCTTTGAAACTTCCACGATGCGGAACGAGGCCTGCCAATGACGCAAGGCCATCCGCTCGAAATGGTTTCGCACGCTTGGTTTGTCAGGAAAGGATCGACATCCGGGGGGGGGGGCAGGACGGTCCGAAAATAAGACAAGGGTGTCAAAAATATTAATCACGGATGGAATGCCACGTTATACAATGTTTTCAACATTCACAGCTTTCTAATGCAAGCAAACAAACAAACAATCATAAATTGATAATTCCTGGAGGCCCAGATAGCATTGGCTGGCGATGGTTTTTCCAAATCCACAAGGCTATTGCATACTACTTTCGTCATTGAATACTACTTTGTGATCGGAATGGTTGGTGCTACAAAAGAGGGTGCTCAACCGTTGTTCATGCATTGTTATTTTGGTATATATTTATGTTTTGGTTCATCATCATGTGAGAACAACATATTATAAAACATGTATTGCACGGTTGTTTTGCCAGAAACATGTTCAATCCATTGAACTCCACTGAAAACAAAACAAAAAAACCACAGAACGATAACTCCAGAAAACTCTTGTTTGGATGGAAAGGACGCGGACGTTTGCACAAGAGTTCAGTGTGTTGAGTATGGACCAAACGGGACGGTGCGTTACCTCATGGATACTAACATTTTTTTGCGGAAAAACGATGATTGCGGTTTCAGACACATAATTCCAGGAGATTCCTATAGCCTATATATACTATATATATAGCAGAAACGAAGCAAACGGTTTTGAACGATCATTTCACTAAGACTGCAACAAAACCAGTTTCTTGTATTTTCAATCATATACTTGTTCGACGAGAAATTCACTGTTGATGAACATAGACTATACATATATGATGCATGCATATGCGTGTGCCACATGACATACAAATATACTCTTGAAGGCTAGCCATGAGCATATCAAGAAACTACAATCAATACTGTAAGAAGAAACAGGGCGAAAAAAACTATGGCACATTTGAAGATCAAGTTCCAAGATTGAAAAGGTTGGGGTGCGGGGCTAGTGCAGTTATTGCAGGGTTTGTCATACCTCATGCCTGGGATGATGCAATCTGGCTTTAGCACAGAACAATGACTCAGATTCTAAGGAACATGTGAGCTGTCCCGCTCGCGGAACGGAACATAGCATTCACATAGGCACATCAAACAATCCAGTGCAAGGTATTCTTAGACATGATTGAGCTGTGGGATATTGTTGAAGTTTAGCACGCTATGAGCGATACTCCGATACACAATTTGATACATTACATTGCAGATCAGATACTGCATTTTGATTTTGTATACCACAGAACATACTGAACCTGTTTTGAGCTTCAGCTCACACACACAGCACACCATGCTCTGATGCGACAAGCAAGTGGGAAGACATGTCAGACATGTCCTGGGAGTTGTGGAGCATTTGTGGCCGGATGGCAATTAGCGGTTCCCACACATTGTCTTTGAGCGTGAGAAATGATATCACTGTTCGGTCACTTGGTCTCAAATTCTCCGATGCGTTGCAGCCACAGATGGTTGTTGCAGCCACAGTACGTGTACTGAAAGATGGTTTGTTGCTACCGGATGCAGCACAATTGAAAGATGCTGGCTTGGCAGATGGTTGCATAGTTGAGTTGCTGCAAACTGCTGGTACCGATGTGGTTATCACGGCCTGCAATGATAACGCCGCCCGGATTTTCTCGCTAGACTCTGGTCAATGCAGCGAGCTGCGAGGCCATTTTGGTCAGGTCTATGCATGCAGTGTGTCACCAGACAACCGCCACTTGCTGACAGCATCTGAGGACAAATCGGCCAGAATTTGGGAGGTCCTTGGAGATGCGGTGGTCGAAAAACGGTGCTTAAGACATGCTGGTGAAGTCTATTCCGCTGTGTTTTCACATTGTGGTAATTTTGCAGTGACAGCATCAGAGGATAACAGCGCGTGTTTGTGGAGGATGGATGGGACTCAGAGGTGGACTTTTTCGCACAACGGAGAAGTGTACTTGTCGACATTCTCATGTGATGATGAGCTTGTGCTCACGGCCTCCGAAGACGGTTCAGCTGCACTGATCTTTGCCGAGACAGGCGAGTGTCAATCAATGTTAGTCGGGCATGATTCTGCTGTTAATAGGGCTGAATTCTCTCCAGATGGCTGCCTTGTGGTAACAGCCTCCTTGGATGCAACCGGCCGAATTTGGAACAGGCAAGATGGCGTGCGCACCTACATTTTACGAGGGTCTCGGTCCGAAGTGAAGTACGCAAGCTTTTCACCCGACAGTAAGCTTGTGTTCCTCACTCATGCCAATGGAACGGCTGAGATGTTTTGCTCGCATACAGGCATTTGCACCCGGACGCTTCTCGATCATATAGAGCCTGTTTACATGGCTGTGTCGTGCCCCAATTGTAGGGTTGTGGCTTTGGCCAGCGAAGATGCCAGAGCAACTGTATGGAACATCACCTCCGGACAGAAAGAACTGACTCTGGAACATGCTGACGCAGTCACGTGGATTTCTTTTTCGCGCTGTGGAAAATTCATTGTAACAACATCGTGGGACTGCACTGCAAAGTTGTGGTATGCAGATTCTGGCGAATGTTTGGACACCTTAGAGGGGCATGCAAGTCCCGTTATTTATGCAGAGTTTGCTACGCTCTACTTGTAGCTGCGTCAGTGCTTTCATACAGTGGCCAGTCGAGTCCAGGCCAACATGACAAGGGAGCAAGTATCGACATCAACTATCCAGGGTGAGTAGGTAGGTGTCAAGACAGTTCAAAGCCTGGCAATGCCCGACTCATCAGCAAATAAGTTTATCAACATCCCCCAGCGTTTAAACAGGGTGTTGGTATGTATTGGTTTTGTTTTCTTGTACAATGTACAATCCTAGCTGTTTCAGTATTTTGCAATATCTTGGAGTCTATTTTGATTTTTCTCCGGAATGTAGCGAGGGTTCCGTCTATAGTCTGGGGGCTTGGGGGCTGGACCTATGTTCGCCTCGTGTTGTCTCGTGGCCCGGGACGTGTCGCGTTCGACCCGTGTGTGACCAAAAATTCCTGCCGTTGGGGGAAGCTTTTCGAACAGATCCGAGAAGTGTCCGATTCACAGCGTAGCATGTTTTCCGCGCAGCATTTCGTGAGGTCAGCAGTCACATTTCGTCGCTGTGCCATTGGGATTGGCGTTCGCAGGGTGGTCTTTTGGAGGTGTTGAATGTGGCTGTGCCATTGGAATTTTGTCGACTTGTCTAGTGTGCCACCCGCTCACGCATAAATCATCATAAATCGAGAAGTGTACCAAAACAATCCAAAACATTGAGGCCCAAGTTTGAGGGAAAAGCCCCGCTTTTTGCTTCGCATGGTAGCGGAGCGCTGTTTGTGAGCGCTCCCTACCGCACGCCACCACCACGACTCGCCGTAGGCGCGCGGCCCTGCGGTCCAGGCGAGCCCAATGGGGCACTTGGTCGGTCGAGCTCCTCTTGCTGGCGTGCTTGGCTGGGAAGGCTGGCGGCAACCTGTGCACGGAACTCCAATACCACAGGAAGTGCGACATTGTGCATGCAACACGATGCCACCGAATTCTTGAAAGCCTTTTTGGCCTACACCAGGCCACCTGCCCTGACGGGTTCGTGGACTCGGAAAGTTCAGTCCAATGAGCAGGTCACGATCATGGATCGAGGAACGGCCTTTTTTCCACCATCCTTTACCACAAGTGATGCCAACGCAGTAAAAGTCTCGCTGCAAGCCTTGATCAACGAATGGCACAATTACATGGGCATGGTTACAGCTTTCGACACTGATAGCCCTCTGCTCTGTTTTCAGATTGATCGGTTCAAACCTGAGAACAAAGCACGAGTCAGAAGAACACACAAGGTGATTGTGGAGGCAGAAGGCTACGAAGGCACTCTATGGTGGATTAGAAGTGGGAGGACAGTCAAGGCTTCGTTGACGGTGCAAGTCTTGAAAGGGAAGGGAAGAGGAAAGGAGGAGAAGCGAGATAGCTGGTAGTGGTGGTCCCCGCTAAGTGGAAGTTTGTGAAGAGGATTGAACTTCTGAGCAGTTTAGAGACGAGACAGAGACTGAGGACATTTGTGAGCTGTTGTCACAGTGGGACTACATCAAACTGCTCGACTACGGTGGCCTTCACCTCGAAGGAGGAGGAGGAAGAGGAGGAAGTTGAACCAAAGCTGACAACCAACACCTTATTTACTTTCATCCCGCACCTCAAGAACATGGCGGATGAGGGCTTGAGAATGTTTTCACAGGCCTTGCAACGCTTGGCCATGAACCAGTCATCGACAACATGGTCAAGACGCATGAAGACACCTGATCAATTGAATCAGAAAGTAGAGACAACGAAGTCAGGCAGTGGAGCGACTGGAAGTTTTCGTGAATCAACTACATCAAAGGCATTGAACCTCAGATGGCGAACAGCATGAAGCTGGTGGAAGACAACCTCAACAGTGACCTCAACCTGAACGACGTGACAGATGAGACGAAAGCAATGGCCATTCGGATCAAAACAGTTGACTGGTCTCATACCTGCGGAACAGACCATTGAAGCTGATGAGGCGTATGAAGGATTAGAATGGGTTCGAGGCATGGCAAAGATTGTTGAGGGGGATGCAACCTGCAACGCGCGCCCGTTCCCTTGCACCCCGGACTCAACTATCCAGGGTGCAGTTTGCTGAGGGAAAGACCATGTCAGAGCAGTTTCCTCAGCGTGATGCAGTTGTCACTGAGTATGAGAATATATGAGATGACGCCAAGATTGCGTGAGTGCTGCAGGCAGTGCCTTCACGCCTTCACGCGCGCCTGCAGCTATGGATCTCAGACAGTACAACCTATGAGCAATTGAAGCGCAAGGCGATGGAGTTCCTGCCAGAGCAGGCACGGATGGGCTCTTGGAAAGGAGGAGACAAAGGTAAGAGCTTGTGGGAGAAGGGGCTAGGAAAGAAGGGCGAAAGCGCAGAGAAAGGCAGCAAAGGAGGCAAGACCGGCGCGCGTCGCATTTGTGGGAAAGTGGGTCACTATGCCAAAGACTGCTCGAAGCGAGTGAGTCAAGTAGAAGAGCAAGCAGCCAATGGTCAGCAGAATCCTGGTGGAGCGAACTCATCATCAACAACAGGCCAAAAAGCGAGTGAGTCAAGTAGAAGAGCAAGCACCCACTAGTCAGCAGAATCCTGGCGGAGCGAGCTCATCATCAACAACAGGCCAAACAGGGTCTGGCGCGTCAGGTCAAGCCGCAGTCAAGATGGTTCGACTTGAGACACCTCCGAACAGTCACTCTTTGACGGCGCCGAAAAGCTCAGGAGACAGCGACAACTAACCATGGAGAGTTGGTGCAATCGGAGGCGAGATTGTGGAGACCTTCGACAAGACGGCAGAGGAGAGGTCAGAAGATGAGTTTGTGGACTGCATAGACTCACTAGTGCTAGTACCAGATGGCATTGCTGTAGCCATGGACCTACAAGATGGGCAAGATGGTGAGAACCAGTGAGTGGCGCAAACAATGGGCGCCAGGATCTGAGAATCTTCGGATGGTTGACGCCAAAGGAAACCAGATTGCCCATGATGGAGTCACGAAGGCAAGGAATCGGACAGTTGGCAAGAATGGCAAGAGTTTGTTTTGGGGAAATGTGCATCCTATGCATAAAAGAGTGGAGCGTTGGCAGCGCTTCCGGAGATTTGAGCTTGAGGCATGAGAACAGTGCCCATCAACAATGACAGGAACTCACTACAGTTCACGGCGCACATCTTCACGGTGGTCTCCGTGGACGTGGAGAGGAACAAGGAAGAACCAAGAAGGGCCACAGATGGCAAGGGCGCCAGCTCTTCGTGGCACTTTGAGCCGGTTGAACCAGGTTGGTGTTGCTTGCCAAATGGAACCGTGGCATACAGTGACCCCATTGCCACGAATTTGACAGGTCCAAGAGTAAGGATGGAAAGCAAGGATGACGTTGATCAAAATTCCTCACGGCGCGTGGACACAGATCGAGAATGCGCCTGACTTCATGGAGCTAGAGGCAAAAGCCTTCACCCCCATCCTACATGGAGGATAAGTGGGAGCAGGAGTCAGGAGTACCGGTCAGACCATTCCCTGACGAGAAAAAAATGGGCATCAACCAAAAAGAACAATAGGTATCAAAAGAAAAACTAGACGCCAAAAAAATAGTCCTTGGTCAACCTTAGTCCTTTGATCCCTTTGGCCCCTTGGTCCTGGTCCCCTGGTCTCTTGGTCTCCTAATCTTGTTTTGGTCCTGGTTCCTTAGTTTGTTTGGTCCCTTGGTGTCCTGGTCCCTTGGTTTCCTAATCCTCTCTTGGTCCCTGATCCCTTGGTCCCTTTCATCTCTTTCATCTCTTGGTCTATCTTATCTATCTTATGTTTTTCGTCTACCTTATCTACCTTATTTTTTTGTACGCAGTTATTTCTTCAACACGGCCAGGAACAAAATGCAAAATTCTAGACAATGACAAAAACTACTACCTACTACTACTACTACCACTACTACTACTACTACTACTACTACCCACCCACCCATTCTCACCAACCACTATTGTCGCCAACCAATTGCCACCAACCAATTGTCACCAATTGTCACCAACCAATTGCCACCCACCAATTGTCACCAATCACAGTTGTCACCAACCAATTGCCACCAACCAATTCCTCCCGCTTGCCACCAAACAATTGTCACCAACCACAATTGTCACCAACCAATTGCCGCCCACCAATTGTCACCAACCACAGTTGTCGCCAACCAATTGCCGCCAACCAGTTGTCACCAACCAATTGCCATCCACCAATTGTCACCAACCAATTGTCAACAACCAATTGCCACCCACGAATTGTCACAAACCAATTGCCCTCCACCAATTGCCATGCACCAACCAGTTCCATCCGCTTGCCACCAACCAATTGCCACCAACCAATTGTCACCAACCGATTGTCACCAACCAATTGCCACCCACCAATTGTCACCACCAACCAATTGCCACCAACCAACTGTCACCAACTGCAATTGCCATCCACCAATTGCCGGCCACCAATTGTCACCAACCAATTGCCATCCACCAATTGCCACCAACCAACTGCCACACAAGACAACAACACACGCACACACCCCACATTCATTCACACGTGAGCCACGTGACAACACGAGACTGACAAGACAACATCACACACACACACCACACATGGACAACATCACATTCACTCACACGTGAGACGGAATTGAAGGACAGACTGACTTGCATTGACTGACTGACGTGAAGTTTTGGTGTGCGTCAGCTGTAGACTTTTGCACTCCACCACCATTCAGATGCTGCACCCACACATATACATACACACGCAGACATGAGACAAACAATCAACTTTCAACCAACAACCACCAACCAACAACCACCAGCCCCATCCACTTCCAAACAACAACCACAACCAACCACCGCTCGCTCACTCTCCTCCATCGTCTAACCCCTCTTTTCTCCGGGCGCTTCTCCTTCTCACCGCAGACGTTATCTTTGGATAAGTTGTTAACATGTGGGGTTATCCGGTCCTATCATTCTACTTTCTTTTTGATACCCCTAAATATTTGCTTTTTGATCACTGCTATTTGTTGACCCCTCACCCCCTACAAGAGCGTCGCAAGAATGCCACACAGGAGTGCCCTACAAGAGTTTCCTACAAGAGTGGCCTAGAAGAGCATTATGCGAGAGTGTCAATCAAAAGTGCGGCGCAAGCATGTCCTACAAGAGTGTTTTTAAGCATGCTGCCCGAAAATGTCTAATGTCCGTGTTCGAAGAGCGCCGTTTGTGTCGGCGTACGTGTGAGAGCGCGGTTTCGTGGAAACTATCACGTTTTTATCGCTGTTGTTGGGCCGGCTTTGGTGGGCTCTCTCTCATTTGCCGTCAGCGGTTTGAGCAAGACTGGCTAAGCAAGACTGGTTACTAGTTACTAGTTATTTTTTTGGTAGCGCATTGTAAAGTCTTGCAAGCGCATTGCAGTTTCTTCAGTTCTTGGATCAGGTGCACATTCAGGCTTTGAGAATGGCCCAAACACGCTGACATATTTCGGCGTGACAGTGAATGTTTCACCATTGTGCTGCCTTTAAAGGAATACATTATTATTGCATTGACAATTTTGAAACATATCTGCGGTTGAGAATAGGTTTTTGACATCACACCCGCCATGCAGATTACAACCGCGACGCAGACAATGTTTTTTTGTAATCGCTGCCAATGGGTTGCGGCAGCTCGGTGGCTTCCCAATACAAGGGTGGCGCGGGCAACTTGAAGACGTGTCCCGCGTGCCCTGCGCGCCCTGTGGAGAACCAGGCGAGCCAAAGTGGCAAAAAACCCAAAGAGTTGCGCATTTCCTCCACTGCTTTAAAATTCCTGGCGCAGGGTTCTTCCCCAGATGTAAGCGCTATTCATTACGCTCATTACGCTCCAGAGATCGGATTGAAGAAAGTGGGGAGAGTTGAAGCAGACAACACGCACAACTTCGCCTCAGAAGGAGCTGGCTGCAACGGTGGACACCTTGGCCCATGGGACAAGGAGGATTTGAGTTTTGGGCCAAGTTGTGGACCTCTGGAGTTTCAACCTTTCGACCGAGATAAGATTTCACGTTTGCCCATCCAAAAGCCATGTACTGCAGGTGCACCCTTTGCTGGTTCTCAATCTTACATTGTGGGAGGTGTTTTGGCCAAGACGGACAACTGTGAGGTATATTTGGGTGCATTTAGCAGGACCAAAGTTGCAGTGAAGCGAATCTCCAAGGAACTATCTGCGCAACCATTTCAGACACATGTGAATGAGGTTCGGTGCTTGCTCCGACTCCAACACGAGCGTATAGTAAAGCTTCTTGGGGTCTTTGATTCTGGTGACTCCTTGGACATAGTTCTGGAGTATTGCCGGAAAGGTGCTTTGCGCAACTATGTCACTGAAAACTGTAACCCTGAGCACCTTTTCCAAATCCTTTGTGATGTGGCGGAAGCTTTGACATTTATGCATGGTGAATGGTTTGCGCACTTGGACATCAAGCCCCACAACATTTTGGTTGAAGATGTGGAGCAGGATTCTGGCTTGCACTAGTCAAAAAGGTACGAAACGCTGGCCTCTTCCCCAAACAGGTCAGGATTTAGTAGGGGGTTGTCGAACAGATAGGCGCCAACCGGTGCAAACTTGAGACATCCAAGGTCATACATTGGTAGTAACAAGGGCATTACTAGGAACAAGAAACTACTAGTAACAAAGGGCAGCGCTGACGCTACTAGGGGCTCCTGGCCCTACTACTAGGAGCAAGAAGCTAGTACGGTGCAAACTTGAGACCAAGGTCATACGTGGAAAAATTTGCGATTTGGGGACTACTACACGTCTCGGGGTTTCTGGCTGCCTGTGTGGCATCATGGGAACCCCGGGCTACAGGGTTTGCTCCCAAGTGATGTGCAAGTCCACAGCCATTTGATGTTTTTTTGGACATTGCGTTCTCCGGGCTTGTATAATGCATATTGTGAAACATTTTCAGTATCAGTATAGATCACAACTAGTGTACAGGACATCACTAACATTTCACTCTGTGCAGTCTACCTGACTACAGCACTTTTTGGATCAGAAGAGTCTTCGCAGGGTGGCGGAGCAAGGATAAGGGTAACCCCCTTTGAGCTCCAGAGGAAAAGCCCCTAGGTCACTGGGATCCCGTGTGCGATTCGAGCCCTAGATTTGGGGCCTTTGGAACCCAAAACAGCTGGACTGGTGGAGAATTGTTGTGAGCAACACTCCATACCCCGTACATGGTGTCCAAGAGACACCAGTACCAAGAAAGAATGGAGGAGATCAGAGAAATCCTTCAAATTATAGCGCAGAGTACGCTGGCATCAACATCAGCAGCTGAGGCAGTGAAGAAAGCAGGTTGAAGACAAGAAGCCCTCGACGACAGATAGGTCAAAACTGATAGCAAAGCCCAACATCTTTGACTATAAGTCACAAGAAGAGGAAAGAGTGCAGTTCATGAGGGCTACATGAACGACCTGAAGGAAACTCATGCGAAGCCAAACGACAAGTTTGACATGGACTTGGCAACTACAGAAGAAAAGACCAGGTGCATCAAGCTTTTGGGCTTGCTAGCTTTGATTCTTGATGAGAGGAAGGGCGCTGCAATTGGTGAAAGCTGTGGAGGACCCCAATGACTTGACGCCTGGAGGAGTTTGAATAAAGCTTTGACACCAACTTCAACCAGGTTTTTCAACGAACAGTGCGCTACAACCTCGACCCTTGAAGCTTGAAGAAGTATTTGATGAGACGGTCAAGGCAGGGACGACAATTCAGGAAGAGTCGAAATCTGCTATTCTTTTGAGATGTGTCGGTGGACAACTCAAATCCTACTTGAGTTTGACATTTGGCGACAATGTTCAATACCCAACTTTTGAGGGAACAAGTGTTGCAGTGGGATCGTTCTCAGCAGAAGTGGGCTACTTCCATGGTGGCTAGTCTAGTAGTTCTGCCAATGGACATTGATCGAGTCCAAGATGCCAAAGGAAAAGGCAAGAGGGCGAGAAGGACCATCGAATTGGCAAAAGTAAAGATGCCAAAGGCGAAGGAAAGAAAGGGAAAGGTGATCAGAAAGGAAGGTGATGGCAAAGGCAAAGGTAATGACAAAGACCAGAAACGTAAGGGTGTGGCAACATGTTACACTTGTGGAAAGCCAGGACATCTTGCTAAAGACTGCTGGAGAAACAGTATTCGACACGACAGGCAGAAAGTGAGCCAGCCGATTCATCTTCAGGAGGAGCATCATTGACTACCCATACAGTTGGTCAACAACATGCCAAGGTTAGCCAGCAGGGTAGCTCAGCAGACACCAAGCCAAGCCAGTGGTCAGAAGAATTGAGAACGGTGAGCCAATCATCTTTGACTTGCGAGAAAGGGATGATGAGCTAGAAGATCAGGGAGTTCGAGTAATTCACTTCTACATTGGAGATGATGATGATGATGATGGTGATGAGCCAGATGCAGGAAGTTGAAGAAATTGACATCTCGGATGATGAACCCGTGGTGAGGAGACTTGGGGAAGAGGGTGAGATTGACAGTGGAGCTGATGTAGCGTTATTGCCTTTGAGTATGGCAGTTCATGGGGAAGGAGAGTTGGAATTCAGCACAAAGACCAAAGGAAATCGCATTCCCACAGGAGGTGCGAGAAGCGTTGAAATTTCCTTGCGCGACCTGGATGGACGAGAGGTTCTTCTCAAAGAGAATGTGATCTTCAGTTCAAAGGTGAATCAGCCCATACTTTGCTATGGAAGACTGATGGAGCATGGTTGGGAATCAACAAGAGCAAATGTTCGAGAATGGTGGCTTGAAAGTACCACTCAACTTGCAAAATCGCTCTTTGACAGTCCAAGGCCGCATTAGAGTCATGAGAGATGAAGACGAAAGCCGCTTGGAGGCGCAAGCCTGAAGCTTTGGAGAAAGAATGAGGTTGGAGATTCAATGAGCATGGACTGCTACTCGGAAGCTTATTGATGTCAAGGTTTGTGGATCCCACAGTCATTCCAGAAGTGGAAGAATCACCAGAGTTGATGAGCTTTGGTGAAAAGGGGGGGTAGACGGCTAAAGCCTGAATATAGTGAACGCCTGACGAAAAAGGATGAACTTGATGAGACATTTTTTGATGATGACGCAGTCATTCATTCGGTCGCAATCTTTAGCTATGAGGCAGCGCCGCCAGAGGATATGGGGTTCTTTGCACTAGGATACAAGAAGCTTGAGAACAGAGAACAGAGAAAGAACGTGGATCAGGCAATCGAGAAGATTCCCCCTACTCCACCGGAGAATGAGGTAGATTCTGAACAAAAGAAAGATGAAGACCTTGAATGTGACTACACTTGAGCCCAGTGGATGTAGACAAAGTCTTGGTGAATGGAATAGAGTTGACTAAGTATTCTTCTTTGGCAACTTTGAGGGGAGCGTGTTCATTTTCGGCACTTCAGGCAGTGGCTCTAAGCTAAAGGTCTACGCCAAGATCCTCAATCGCAACAAGAAGATGGAGTTGTTGAACGCCAAAAGCTTGGGTGAGTGAAGCAAAAGCTCAAGAGACAAGAGAGGCATCAGGGCAAAAGTGTTGCAAAGATGCCAGAGGAAGCAGCTCAAACAAGGCGCAAGTTGACGCACATGCCATATGCCAGTCGGTGTAAGGAGCGCGTTGAACATCGAGCGCGTCCAGATCGCCATGAGAGAACAGATGGAGTATATAGAGAGGAAGTAATCCTGAGTCCTGACGTAAGCTTTGACTTTTGCTATAAAAGAGCAAGGGATTCAGTGACAAAGTCAGCAAGAGCAGTATGTTGGCTAGTTACAATTGACAGCCAGACTGGATTCATTCATGTTGCGCCATTAAGAAGCAAGAACCAAGTTTGCCTTATTGCGCACGAGTTGATGAATTTCAGTCAATTGTTGTGGTATTCAGCAATCGCCTACAGGAGTGACAATGAACCCACAACAAGGCAAACCCTCGAGATGCTGATCAATGCTCGCCACAGTCCAGGACTTACCGCCAGATCGATTATCTCAAAGATTGGAGATCATTCGTTCCTGTCAGAGAACGCAGCTGACAGGGTGAGGAAGCTTGCAGGAACTTTCATTGAAGGTATGCAGTCAAGACTTGGTACCAAGATTGGATCTGATCATGCAATTCGGACTTGGGCAGCAAGACATGCCAGTTGGGTGCTGAATAGATTTCAGCCAGTCAAGGGTGCAAATCCCTATGAGCTTGTCTATAGGCAAGAGTAACAAAGGACTCCTAGCAGAATATGGTGAACCATTTTATGGTTACATCAAGAGCCTCAATAAAGGAGAAGCAAAATTGCACCTATGCTTGTTCTTTGGAAGAGACAGGACACCTATGTGCTAACGGATGGTGTGCAGGTAGCGCGAGCAAACGCATCAGAAGAACAGATCAAGATTTGCCCAAATACTTATCCATCTACAAAATTAAAGCTTCTTTGCCTATTCGTGAGAGTATCAAACCAATTTTGGAGGCAGCATCATTGCCGCAAAGAGGAGAACAGAAGCATTACCAGTAGCCCAGTAGCTCAGTAGCTCAGACAGACATTCCCCGAGAACATGTAACGCTGAAATTCAAGGATGAAGATGCAGAAGCAGTGATGGCAAAAGCGCTTGAAGGAGGAAGTGATTCAGGGAAAGAGGCACTATTCCCAGAACCAATGGCGGTTCCAGCCCCGCTGGAAATCATTGTTGAAGCAACGAAAAGAGATGGAGGTGAAAGGAAGCCAGGTGGAGAAGAAACCCCAAGTAAGAAGCATAAAGTTCTCTTTGCAGATGAGAAGACACTTGAGAAGGTGAAGGCGTTTCCCTCTACATCATTGTTAGCAGGACAGCCTAATCCAGTTACCCCCTGTACTGCCCTCATTGAGATCACCATCAGCGCCATCGAGACCAAGGGAAGCATTTGACCTGTTGGAGGAGGAAAGCCCAACGAAGAAGCTCAGGCCATCAGATGATTCAAGCAAGAAGGCCAAGATTAATTTGGTGAAAGTGGCAGGCGAAGATCACGAAAGCTAGCGTCAGCTAGCTGGAGTTGTCCTTGCTTTAGCAAGTGAGGGGCTGGAAGCCTCGAGATCGCCGCGTCATATGTAGAGGGCCGCCCCCCCCCCCCCGGGTTCAACTCCCCCCTAAAACGCCTCTGGGACGGACGCCTCTTATGGCATCCACTTTGGTTCAACTCCTCCGTGGAGGTTTTGGGATACGACGCGAAAGATTCAACAGATTCACAAGCTAAGGTTGGCTGTGTCATTGCTGTTCGTGTGTCTTACATGTTCGCAGCGTTTTACCTCATGAGCGAGACCTTGTGAACCATCCCTCCGACAGCCCCATGCCTATGAAAAAAGATTTGCCTCACTCCGCTTGATGTCCCACCAGTCCGTGCTAGCTTTCGTCGCCTACCCTCGGCCTCAAGTCTTTATCATGTGGATGATCCCCAGTTGCATAATAAGTTGATGAAAGAAGACTGGGAAGAAGGAGGTGAGCCAGAAGAAGACAAGTGAATGGACCTGAATGGTTGTGGCGTGATGGAGAATATGAACCAGAAGAAGATGCAGAAGAATGGATAGACAGAGTAGCTGATGAAGTAGAAGAGAAAGACTCCAAAAGATGCAAGCGCTAGAGAAGCCAGAAGACAGCGCAAAAGGAACCAGTTACCTGAGAACCCGCAATGTGTATG